GGACCCTGATCCCCGGCTGCTAACAACAAATTGCTGACTGAAAGTTAGCAAAGAACAGCAGGTGTTACAGCAGTTCCTGGATTAGGTACACAGATGACACAGCCCGCCATTCCAGCACCCAGGAAGGTAAATTCATAAAATAGGGCCCCCGTTTAATCAATCCGCTCTTACTTCTGGCTGATTTCTTTTTCTTGATAATTGTGTTTAAATTTCGGATTCCTAAGGGAATTTTTGCAAAGGGTGCGGCATAGAACAGTAATACCCGAAAATAATGATAGTTAACATTTGTGCAAGGCTGCTCTAATTTACTCACCAAATATTTTTGAGGGCCTCACTGGGGACACTTCCCTTAACAAGACATGTCCATGCCAACGGGGAGCTTACCTCCTCCTATGGACCGATAGCCAAAAAGTAAGCTACTTGGATAGTATGTTAGAATGTGATGAATAGCAGAGAGAAAAATAAAGCAGAGCAAAGGGATGGGAGCCCTGGAGTTGCCATTTCAAGCAAGCTGGCCAGGGAAGGCCCCACTAGGAAGTTGGTATTTGTGTAAAAATCTACAGGAGGCAAGGGAGGGGACCTGGAGGACAGCACTATCCATGGAGAGCACCCAGTGCATGAATGCTGAGGAAGGACAGCGCCCTGCCCGAGGGAGGAACTAGGAGGAGGGAAGAGGGGAGGAGCCCAGGTCAGGAGGTGAGAGGGCGGGGTTGGGGTGCATCTCCTGGGACCTCGCAGCTTCCTTTTAAAAGACTTTGGCTTTTGCTCTGAGTGGAACAGAACAGTGAGTTAAAGTCTTAACCGAATAACTGGCTGTCGTGTTGAGAATAAACTGAAGCAGGGAGGCTACTGCACTAACCCAGGCGGGAGATGATGGTGGCTTGGACCAGGGTGGTAGAGAGTGTGGTGGTAAGTGGATGGATTGTGGATATGTTTTGAAGATGTGGTGGACAGGATTTGCTGCTCCATGAGAATGGGGTATGAGAAACAGAGGAGTCAAGCATGACCTCAAGGTTTTTGGCCTGAGCCACTGGAAAAATGGAGTTGCCATTTACTGAAATAGGAAAGATGGTAGGAGGAGCAGGTTTTAGGGGAGAAGATCAAGATCGGTTTGGGAATTGTTCAGTTGGACGTGCATATTAGACATCTAACTGGAAGTAGCAAATTGGCAGTTGAATATTCGAGTCTGGAATCAGGGGAGAGTTCCAGGCTGGAGATATAAACTTTGGAATCATTGGCACATAGGTTGTGTTTAAAGCCACAGGAGTGGATGAGGTCACCGAGGAGGTGCATGTGGATAGAGAGGAGAGGACAAGGACTGAGCTTTTTGGGCCCTCAACGTTTGGTGGTTGGAAGAACTGGCAAAGGAGACCAAAAAAGGACTTACTGTGCCAAGGCACTGGTTTTACCTGTAACCCTCATTGTATTTCTATGATATAAGAACTATTATTATCTCCCATTTTACAGATGATGAAACAAGTGCAGGGACCTTAAAGTACCTTGTCCAAGGTCACACAGTAGGTGGCAGAGCCCGGACTCAAACATAGGCCATGTGTCCCAGAGTCGGCTCCTAAACATCAGGCTATACCTCCCTTCAGCGACTGTACCAAATGCTTATACATTTACTTATTCAATAGAATGGGCTTCTAGTGCAGTGACCTAAACAGGATCAGCTCACTAACTCTCTGAATCTCAGTTCCCACATCAGTAACATGCCTCCCTGCCTCCTTCACAGGATTGTGTTGAAACTAACGAGAATGACCATGAAAGGCTGTGTAAACCGTGGAGTGCGGTACCTACATTACACCGTCATGGGATCTTCAACTTGGAAGAGGCCCCTCTAAACCCCAGAATTGTAAAGGGTTAACATCTTGTGATATGTTCTGCCAAGAGGACGGCCATGACCTCTGGCCACAGCCAGAAGAGACACATGGCATCAATATCCATGTGCGACGTGCTGCACACAGTATTTCTCAGGATGATAACACCAGCTGTGGGAGACTGCTGCATCCTTGAACTCAAGGGAGTATGCAACATAGTCTATTCAAATAAAATTTCAGGAGTTCTGCCCTGGGGGCTCCCCCTCCTTTATCCCTGCTCGCTTACTTTTCCCACGGCTTTCATAATAAATATCCATTGGACTTTTTTTCTTTCTCTTTTTGTCTTTTTTCGTGACCGGCAACGGATCGCAACCCT